CCCACGGCCCCAATGTCCGCGCCCCCCAATATTTGTGTCCCCCCCCATGCCCCCTCGATCTCCATGTCCCCGTGTCCCCCATGTCCCACCATATCCCACGTTCTCATGGCCGACCGTGTCCCCGTGGCCCAACATGTCCCTGTGTCCCACCATGTCCCCATGTCCGCCATATTCATGTCCCCCATACCTGTGTCCCACCATGTCCACGTGTCCGTCATATCTGTGTTCCACCATGTCCCCGTGTCCCCGTGTGCTCCCATGTCCCACCATGTCCCCGTGCCCCCCATACCCATCTCCCCCATACCCATGTCCCACCACGTCCACGTGTCCCACCATGTCCCCGTGTCCCCCATATCTGTGTCCCATCATATCCTCGTGTCCCCCATGTCCCACCATATCCCACGTTCTCATGGCCGACCGTGTCCCCGTGGCCCAACATGTCCTTGTGTCCCACCATGTCGCCCGTATATGTGTCCCCCTGTGTCCCCCATACCCATGTCCCCCATGTCCCTGTATCCCTTCATGTCCCACCCACTGGTGTCCCACCGTGTCCCCGTGGCCCACCATGTCCACATATCCCACCGTGTCCCCGTGTCTCCCATATCTCCCATATCCATCTCCACCGTACCCATGTCCCACCACATCCACATGTCCCACCATGTCCCCACGTCTCCCATATCCCCGTGTCCCCCATATCCATGTCCCCCATGTCCCTGTGTCCCCTCATGTCCCCCACACTGGTGTCCTGCCACGTTGTCATGTCCCACTTGTCCCTGTGTCCACCCATGTCCCTGATGTCCCCATGTCCCTGTGTCCCCTGTATCCACCTCCCCCATACCCTTGTCCTACCACATCCATGTGTCCCCCCATGTCCCTGTGTCCCCCATCCCCACTATCCCCATGTCCCACCATATCCCCATGTCACTCATATCCATGTCCCACCATGTCCCCGTGTCCCACCACGTCCCCATGTGCCACCACGTCCCCATGTCCCGCCATGTCCCCGTGTTCCCATGTCCCCCATATCTGTGTCCCACCATGTCCCCATGTCCCACCACGTCCCCATGTCCCGCCATGTCCCCGTGTTCCCATGTCCCCCATATCTGTGTCCC